CAAGAAGAAAATAATTTCCTGAATAGTGTGTTCCTTTTTGACATTCATTTTTTAAAAGAAAGCTTAGAAGAGGGTTTTTATTTAGAATTTATTACTAGTACCTACCATTGTTTTGAATAGCTCAATATTTACCTGCATTTGTGTTTGGATCTTCAGTTCTTAAGTAGTTAGCTAATTGTGATATACGCTTAAGTGAAACCAGTATTAGGAATAATGAATATAAATTTGTGCTTAAGACAGTGTCCTTTAATAACAATTATGGCTGGATCTTCTCAGGTCTGATTAGTCATCAGTTTTTTACCTTAATGTGGCTCTCAAAGTGTCAGAAATGTCAGCCTGGTTAATGGTGTTTATGTGTTCTTGCATTTTTAACACTATCACCATTCGTTCATGATGTGAGTTTACTTAAAGATCATTCATAATCCCCTTAGCCAGACACAGAAGGGAGATATGAGGCCCTATACTGACATCACTGAAGAGTCCTTCCATTTCTTCCCATCTAGTAACAGCTCACTTATGGACCATGTGGGGGTACCAGTGCCAATCCACTCACAAAACAGTAGTACAATTTAATGTCTTCCCTCTTATTTTGGTTAAAAAATCCAAGTATTTGGGAATGTAAGAATGAATTTTTAATTTTGGAGTTTCAGTGGGCATCTTCTGTACCCTACAGCAAGGTTCCTAGATAAGGAGTCTTAAATTTTTGTTTGTTTTTAACGTTAGAAACTTTTTTAAAGATTAAACATGAACATGATACTGTAGCATTTAAAGGACAACATGGCAACCAGACTGCTTAAAGTTAATTAGCTGAGGGTATCAGAGCTCAGACCTCTGCCTATGTGGACTCTTTCTCTGCTACCCTTGAGGCAAGGCTTCAAGATTCTTCTGTGAAAACCTAGTTTCTGTGAAACACAAATGTGCAAAAGCTAGCTCTCCAGGTCGGCTTCCTTCTCCAGGCCTGCCCTCACCAACACTTGCTCCCACTCTAGTCATACATTTCAAAAGTTGTTATAGTTGGGCTGGGAAGGTGGCTCAGTGGTAGAGCGCTTGCCTTGCATGCCTGAGGCCCTGGGTTCGATTCCTCAGCACCACATAAGTAAAAAGAAAAAAGCCGGAAGTGGCGCTGTGGCTCAAGTGGTAGAGCGCTAGCCTTGAGCTGAAGAGCTGAGGGACAGCACCCAGGCCCAGAGTTCAGGCCCCACAACCGCCCCCCCAAAAAAGGTTGTTATAGTTATAATATGGGGAATAGTAATAGCTCACTGAGTACCAAGCACTACATCTCATTATGGGATAAAAGTATAGAACAGAATGAGTATGGAATGGTGGCAATTCAGCCTTTAAAGGAGGGAAAAATACCATTTGGAGTGGAAACCTTTCCTGTGTGTCCCCAGTAACCTTGGAGTTGGGGACATAAGGTAATCTAATTTGCTATAATTTGTTTTAGTAAAAGTATTATTTTTAAATGCTAGTAAGGAAAACAACAAAGATATAAACCAAATTGAATTTTTTTAATGAGATGGAAATAACTCCTAAAAAGTGATCTTAAGATATCAAGAAATGGAACATCTGTGATAGTCTATTAGCCAACATAAGCAACACTAGCTGCTGTAATAATTGACCTCAAAATGCCTGGTGTAACTCAATAAAGATCTATTTCTCACTCATGTCACAGCACAGGGCATGCTGTGAGGAGGCTCTGCTGTACAACCAGGTATTCAGGAACTCATTCCACACTGCAGTGCCAATGTCTTCCAAAACATACTTCTAGGTTGATCTAGCTTCAACTGGTTGGTAGATGGAAGGATAAACAAAGTGGAGAAGAAACACTTTCTTTTACCTATTTGGGGGGACAAAATGTGATAAATACATGGCCTTACCTATATGTAAAATGTTTAGGGAATGCATTTATGTATCTTGGAAGAGAAAATGGATTTGATGAGCACTAGTGTGTGTGTGTGTGTGTGTGTGTGTGTGTATGTGTGTGTGTGTGTGTGTGTGCATGCACACATGCATGTGTTCCAACCAGGTTTGATTTATATTGGGGAATCTTCACCACTTTTTTTTCTACCTGCCATAATACAGGAATGAGCAAACCAGCATGAATCCATCTAGTCTTTCTTTGAATAGCAATGGTCATGCATTTCTCACTGCGTATGTAATTTACGTGTATGTCTACTGCTTTTTAATATTCATTTCCCCTAACCTCTTCCCCTCCAAGTCTAGCAAACTCTTCCTCATCTTTTTAAAACACATGACAATGTTTACTTCCTCTATGAACTTCTCTGATGACACAGACCACAGATCTCTTCTAAACATTCACTGAAAATTTTATCCTTATACTTTGCATGTTCTTCTATTATGGGATACATTAGATAATTATTAAGAAATCCTTATATTTTCAAAAGGATTGGCTGCATTAATAGTCACAGTTCAGTGACCATTACCAAACTTAGCTTCTTCAAGGGAAGGATGGGGTTTTGAGTATTTCAGTATCTTTCATGGCTACAAAGCACAGGCCTAGCTCATATGCTTAATATTTGAGGGGAAAAAAAGTAGATGATTTGTCCAACCCTGACACTTAATAATTGGAATTCATTTAGTCTCCTTTTTTATTCTTACCTGCTTTGTATTGTGATTAAAAAAATACATAACATGAAAGTTGCCTTAGGTTTTAGCATCCAGTATAGTAGTAGTATTACAACATACAATTTATTGTCCAACACATCTCTAACGTCTTCATCTTGGAAAACTGGAACTCTGTAACCCTAAACAACTTCTTTCCTACCCCCTCCCTCCAGTCCCTAGTTAAATACTCTTACTTTCTGTTTCTAAGAGTTCCCCTATTTTGGATACCACATGAAAGTGGAATGATTTTCTATTGATCTTTTAGTGACTGGCTCCTTTCACTTAGCACCCTGTCCTGTAGGATCATCAATCTTGGAGGATTTCCTACATTTTAAAATGCTGATTAACAGTTTATTGAAAAATGTGTGTAATGATGAGTACCTGTTGCCCTAGCTATTCTGGAAGCTTCAAGCAAGGGATCACTTCAGCCCAGAAGTTTCAGATCATGCTGGGTAGCACAATGAGACGTTGGTGTTTATTGTTTTTTAAGTTCATTATATTTACATACCATATTTTAGTCAATCATTCTAGTGTCTTTGTGTTTGTCTTGCATGCTATTGGAGGAAATTGATGTGAAAATATTTCCTGTGGACCTGAGAGAAAAGGCAATATCTTATTTAATTTTTCAGGCGAGTTACTTAAAGCTCGAACAGGAGTGTAGTCGTCTTGTATACCTTGTATCAGGTCCTAGGAAATCATTTGGTACAAGACAAACACATATGCTTTTGTAGGCTGCCCTAATCCATTTGCCTGTAATGTCAATTTCAAATGATGTTATAAATATTCAAATGGCTGTTGAAGAAAACAAAAAAGGTTCCCCACTCCTAGTTAGAAACAAAAAGCACATTCATAGGTGTACAGGGTAACTTATTTATTTATTTTAAATCAGTGACCTGCCAGGCATGTAGGTACAAACTTGTGAATCCCAGCTAATTCAGAGGATGAGGTGGGAAGGCCAAGAGTTAGAGGCCAACCTGAACAAGATCCCATTTCAAAGGCAAGAGAAAGCAGGGAGGTGGGGGTGGGGGAGGTCAGAAACCATGGAAGAGAAAGACTTCTATTGTTTGTCTTCTATTTCTGAAGTAGGGGAAATTATTCAAGTATTTCCAACTGAGAAATAAGGGCCCGTAATAAAGAGCTATTGACATTCCCAGAGGCCTCTTACCTTAGCCTTCTCTGGAAACCCCAACTACCTCCTGTTTCACACACTCAAAATAGATCTGCTGAGAAAAGACATAGCCCAATTTTAAAGTAGGGCAAAATAAATAAATGAAAGGGTAAACAATGAGTCCTTTAAGACAGAGTGTTGGTGAGAATTTTAATGTTTATGGAGGAACCCCAGAGTAACCCCAGACCTGTTTGGGGACTAGAAACCATCCTTTTCAACCCTTGTGATTTGCGCTGAGGCTGTTGGTGTCCTTTAGGGAGAGACATCAACATCCTGGACTTTATTGTGTCATCATGAAAGAATCTAAAGTATCCTCGCATCAACATGATATTGTTTCAGTTGGTCTGACGACCAGTATTAAATATGTAGCCTTCATATAGACTTTAAAATCTCCAAGCAAACTAGCACAAATTTCTTCCAGTTTTTCAGCACAAACCTTTCAGTGGAAGGTAAATACGCCAAATATAGCTTGAAATAATAAAGAATCCCTCCAAAGACAAAGAGACATTCATTAGCCAATTAATTGGTTGGTGAACAAAGCACCTGTATATTTTTTTCTGCAGTACCATGAATGTTGCCTTAAGTTTTATTTTCTATTTTGATTTTCCTCTCTCAAGTATGATTTTTAGAAAACAGCTGTAGCGCACGGTGACAAATGACAAGGCCAGGAGGGAGCAAAACTGAATTGCTGAAGCTGCAAATGGGCTAGCTAGAATCCCCAGTTTTGCTAACCTCCTTTCTCTCTCTCTCTCTCTCTTTCTCTCCTAGTCCACAGTGCGCGGGGGCCTCGGCGCCCCACCCCGCTTTCCTGGCTCTGGTTACAGCCTGTGAGTTGAACAAACTTGCTGCAGGCGGATTTGGAGCCGGCCGCTCTCGGGCTCAGCGTTGTATTTATTAATTTATATTCCGCGGCGGCCGCTCCTTTGTATCCGGCTGCGTCCACTCGGGACTTGGGGACCTTGACGGGGAACGCGTCCGCCACGTTACCCCCGGACTCGGGGAGCCCGCACGTGCGGGGCCGGGCCCGCCGGAGGGCGGGGGCTCCAGCCTTCCCTCTCCCTCCCTCCCCCCCGCGTGTCTGCCAGGAGGAGGAGAGAAAGAGGAGTAGGAGGAGGAGCAGAGGCAGCTGTGGGAGGCGACAGCTGCCCCGCCGGGGAGGCGCGGCGGAGAGGGGCAGCGGTCAGCTGAATTCACTCGGGGTTGCAGCCCTGCTGCGCGCCCCGCCACTCTCGGAAGGGGGCCTCCCGCCATGTCCCCGGGCACTCCTTGATCGCTCGTCCGTGCGCCTCCGGGGTCGCCGGTTCCCGGTCAGCTCGCCCGCTCGCCGGGCCCCGGCTCTGCGTCGGCCGCGCCGCGGTGGAGGCGCGCGGGGGGTGATGAGCACATTGCGGGTAAATACGCCGCCGCCGCCGCCGCCGGGCTCGGAGACACCGTGAGGAAGCGTGTGGCTGCTTTTCTCCGAGTCGCCGCTTTACCCTTGCGTTGGAGATCATGTAGGTACCGCCGTCCAGCCATTGTCTCCAGCCCCAGCGCGTGCCGCGCGCCCGGGGGGCTAGGGGACCGGTGCCCACCCCGGCGGCGCGCGGCCCCCCGCACTTCCTGTTCCGCGCAAAGTGATGGGCGCGCTCACCGCGGCTCTCCTCCTCGCCCCCGCGCACCCTTTCTCTGTCCCTGCAGGTCCATTCACATCGTGGCTCTGGGGAACGAGGGCGACGCGTTCCACCAGGACAATCGGCCGTCGGGGCTCATCCGCACGTACCTGGGGAGAAGCCCTCTGGTCTCCGGGGACGAAAGCAGCTTGTTGCTGAACGCGACCGGCACGGTGGCGCGTCCGGTGTTCACCGAGTATCAGGCCAGTGCGTTTGGGAACGTCAAGCTCGTGGTTCACGACTGTCCCGTCTGGGTAAGGAGCAGCTGCTCTGAGCCGAGGCCGAAAAAGCGTCCCCCACGCTCCTGTTAGGGAACTTCCCCTCCTTCCTCCTTACCCCACTTGCGTGGATGGGAAGTGTCGGTGTTACTTGTGTAGAGTTTTTAAACTTTTTTTTTCTTTTTCAAGTACTATTAATCTGGTCTTTTGTTTCATCGGGCCGAGGGAGTGGAGAGAGTCACAACTCCTGTAAGGTTAAGAAGTCCCAGTGAGAATACAGAGTCCTTACTCTTTCAAAACTGTAGATTGTCCCTAGGTAAACAGTGGATTGTTGAATGCGTCAACCCCAAAGGGACAGGCTCACTAAGTTCCACTAGCTGAGGGCATTGTTTTTGTTATTTGTTTTTGATCGCCCGCCCCACACCCCATGCCTCTGTGATGTTCTATAAATACAGCCCTGGTATAGCTCAACATAAAAATACTTTTCACTGGGACACTGCAGAAATAGCATGGAAGGAGGAGAAAAGACCAGGACTAAGATTCATTTTAAAAGACACATTTGTAACATAACACCTCTGAAACATTTTAAGTAATGCTTTTAATTTCAATAATGCAAACCCTTCTCAGATATTAGCAGTTTATTTGTAGTGATCTGAAATCAGAAATATTACTAATTTGAAAATAAAAAAAAATCTTTCAGATTTGTGATAATTGAAACTACAGAAAAGTCTTAGTCTGATTCTGGAGTGTCTGGTAAAAGGTCAAAGGAGTCTCTTCCTTAACACACAAAAGTATTTCCAGTGTGCCTTATCATTCTATTTCAAATGTTTTTACATAACCGAATTTAAAAACATCCTACTGTTTATTGGTATTGGGGTTACACTCCTGTTTATTGGTATTGGGGTTACATATATTTTAGTTGAAGACTGATTTTTTTTTTAAAGAGGAAACTTAGTGCCTGAAAAAAAATACAAGTTGTCATTTTGATTTGAGATTTTGCTTTTTTTCCTCCTTCCTTTCTCTCTCCCCCCTTTACTTTTTGATTGTTTTATTAACTTTTTTTTTTTAGTGCTGATTGTGGACTTGAACTCTGGGCCTGGACTCTGTCACTAAGCTTCTTTTGCTCAAGGCTAGCACTCCACTACTTGAGCCACAACTCTACTTCTGGCTCTTTTAATAGTCACGGCCTTTCCTGCCACAGCTGTCTTCGAACCACTATCCTCAGATCTCAGTCTGCTGAGTAGCTAGGCATGAGCCATCAGCACCTGCCTGTTTTGTTTACTTTTAAAATGGATTTTTAACAAAGGGATTATAGCTATCAGGAGATAACATATGTTTTTAAATAAAATATATAGAATGTACCTAGAAGAATTTCTTGTGCAACAAATGGTTCATACAAATTTTCAGTTAAAGGAAGGTTGTATTCATGTGCTAAACTAAATTAAAAACACCCTTTTCAGTATTAGGATGCGGTTGAGCTCTTGAGATGACAATGATACTGCTGTGCAAAAGAAGTATCCATGGAGAACTTGCTTTCTAGCAGGAGTCTGTGCCAGAAAATGAAGCACTCCTTTTACTCCCGGTCTTTTCATTATAAAAGATCATCCAGCCTGAAAACGAACTTGTTCCACACACTACTGAACAAATGTTTAGTGAACACAGTAAATAAATGTAGAGGAAAGCAAATAAATGTAGAGGAAAGCAAATTAGGAGGTTGGGATTGCCTTTCCTGTATTTAATTTGATCTATTAATCCTTTTCTGTTTAAATTAGCAAAAATTCATACTTATGATCCTTTGTGTTATGTATAGTGAAATGAAATCTTCCAAATGGATCAAACAAACCTTTGTAGACTGGAATTTGGCTATTTGATTTATTAAGCTATTAAATATTATACTGTATGGTTTGACTCTAGTGGTATCAGAGCCTAATTTTTTAAAAATCAGGTATAATTTTCTAGGTTTAATGGGTCTCTTCATTGACAAGTGCTTTTATTCTCTTAGTAGTAGTAATGCTGATAAAGATCGCAAAGTTTAGTATATTAATGACATATATACCATATATCGGTATCAAATTATCTTAGGAGAGTAAATAAAACAAAAGACTTTGTTACCAAAAGGAAGTGATTTTGCATTCTGACATTTTCATTTAGTGCTTCTGTGTCTCTCAATCTATGCATTTTCCCTATCTCTAGAGAATTCTTCATTATCTCTGCCTACTAGAGCTGTTCCAAGAAGTAAATGAGATAGTACATGTAAAAGTTCTAAAGCTTAGACTCTGGCATGGAGTAAGTGCTCCAGAAGTGGTAGTTACTATAATAAAGTGTTTATTATAAAACTTTAGCATAGTCATGTATCACTTAACACTTAACAGAGGTAATTTCCTCACATGCCCATTAAGATTTATACCAATATAATACATTTGCAAAACGTAAATTCTACTAGGTGCTGTATGTGTAGCTCTGTAATCAAGTAGGATAAAATTGGTATGTTGTAGAAATTCAGATTTTTTTTCCTAAGATGAGTTAAATTCTCCAAATATGGCCCCAAGCATTATGTTGTGTAATCCCCAAGAGGAAATCCAGGAACTGATTTACAAGGGGTGGGAGAATTTTATTTCCTTCATAATTCTAGAAACCAGTGGAGCATTTGCTCTTTGACATAGCTGTTGCTGCCTTGGAGTTGGAATGAGAAAGTTGTACTTCCCTTCAGAAGTAATTTTCTATGGATCCTTTGCCTTGTTCTGGCTCGTTGCCTTATAACTTGGCACTTTTTAAGAAATAGGCTTCAAATTCTATGGATGTAGCTCATTACTAAGTAGTTCTTTTTCACCCACTCCTTTTTGTGTTTGCAATCATGTTATTTATTCATTTCACATTTCTAGATACTTTCATTTCTACCAAAAATAATTGATTAAAAATAGTAAGGTGAGGGGCTGGGAAGTTGGCTCAGTGGTAGAGCGCTTGCCTTGCATGCCTGAGGCCCTGGGTTCGATTCCTCAGCACCACATAAGCAAAAAGAAAAAAGCTGGAAGTGGCGCTGTGGCTTAAGTGGTAGGGCACTAGCCTTGAGCTGAAGAGCTGAGGGACAGCGCCCAGGCCCAGAGTTCAGGCCCCACAACCAGACCAAAAAAAAAAAAAAATAGTAAGGTGAGCCGGCAACCATTGGCTCACACCTGTAATCCTAGCTACTCAAGAGGCTGAGATCTGAGGATTGTGCTTCAAAGCCAGCCTGGGCAAGAAAAGTGCATGAGACTCTTATCTGAAATAAATCACCAGGAAACCAGAAGTGGTGCTGTGACTCAAGTGGTAGAGCACTGGCCTTGAGCTGAAGAGCTGAGGGACAGCACCCCCGCCCAGAGTTCAAGCCCCATGACTGACCAAAAAGAAAAAAAAAAGTGAGGTGAATGTTCACAATTTTTGTGGAAGAGTCAAAGCTCTGATTTGTATTATGCATAAGAGCATTAATTGTAGATAAAAGCCTGCCTAGGCCAGCTTCAAATCACAATCCTTAGATCTTAGTCTCATGCATACCCAAGATTATAGACATGAGCCACTGGCACTTGGCTTAAAAATTATTTTTGAAGTATCAAAGCAGCAAAACTTTAAGGAATAGGTTCTATAACATTGCTTATGGTTCCAAAAATTATAAATACAACTATTATCAACTTGGAACAAAAGAAAGATTATACAACTGGAAGGCTTATCTTGAGTTTTTAATGTAGAAGCAAAATACATGAATTGCAAATATATTCCTTCCCATGTTAACATGTTGTAAAACAGCAGGTTTGAGAGAGGTATATTATCCCCACTCTGCTAGATACACTACATATGCACAGTATAAAGCTGAAAAGTACATGTGACTTTTTCAAGTATGAATATATGGAATACCACAAAATACACAGTATATGGCAATTTAAAGCACTAAAATATATAGTTACCTAATTGAAAATAAATTTATAGCTAGATGCTGGTGGCTTATGCCTATAATCTTAGCTTCTCAAGAGGCTGAGATTTGAGAATCTCAGCTTGGAGCCAGCCTGGGCAGTCAAATCTCAAAGACTCCTATCTCCCAACTAACCATCACAAAGTCAGAAGTGGAATTGTGGCTCAAGGGGTAGAGTGTCATCCATCAGCAGAAAAAGCCAAGTGAGGAAAATTTATATAAAAAGAGAGGAAAATATTTAAAATTACTACATTACTTATATTCTAATTGACTTTATGATTGAAGATCACTAAACTAATGTTTATTATTTGCATTTTGGTCTAGGACATTTTTGACAGTGATTGGTACACATCTCGAAATCTAATTGGGAGTGCCGACATCATTGTGATCAAATACAATGTAAATGACAAGTTTTCATTCCATGAAGTAAAAGATAATTATATTCCAGTGATAAAAAGAGCATTAAATTCAGTTCCAGTAATTATTGCTGCTGTTGGAACCAGACAAAATGGTAAGTACTTATTTTTTCTTTTTTTAATGAGCATGCAGGTACTATACTAAATCTTAAGAAAACTGAATATAATATATTAATGATTAATACCCCAAATGACTGTGGGTTCAAATGCCTGCTGTTATCTCTTCATTTGATCTGAAAGCTAGACATCAAAGGAGAGGATCACAAACTTCTGTTGGGAATCTGCTGGGTACAAAGCTGTCTTTTAAACTGCCTTTCCACAGTAGTAAAGGGAATTAGGAACTCTGCTCTTCACACATGAAAAATATTAGGCTGAGGTAGAGCCCTAGAAAGCTCTTTCTGACACTCTGAAGGTTGTGCAGTTGGGAAGGATAGGTTATCCAGAGACAGAAGTAGGCATAGGAGACAGGATTTCTAGATTGATAACGAATAAACTGGCAACACTGATGAGACTGCCGGAGGGAAGGAGTGTTGACTCTGAGGCAGATGGATTCATTTGGTTCAGGCAGTTCCAGTTCTGGTGCTATGCATATTAATGTCAAATAGCTTGGGGCCAACTTAAGATTCACTTGGACTGCATTATATTTATTATTTTTTCTAATTATCTTTGGTTATACAGAGGCAGCTTCAATTTTACATGTCAGTTATGAGTATAATGCATCTTGATCAGTGTTAGACCTTTTATCATTCCTCCTGCCCCCGATTTATGCCTACCTTATCTATAACCAGGTTCTGTTATTTCACATATTCATTTAGTATTGTGATTGTATTCACAGGCCCTTCCATTCTCCATTACACTACCCATCCTTTGTTTGGCTTCCTGGTATTCATTTTGTGAAAATATGTTAGTTGTTTAGAGTAGTTACATCATTGAATTCCTCCCTTGAATGTACCATACTTTAGCCAGTTTATTGATGGATATATGCATGTGGCCTTGTATATGTTTTCATATATGTATATTATTTAGATTTAACTTTTTCATATGAAACAAACCTGTGCTGATGTTTTCTTTGTCTCTCTAAGACTAACTTAAAGGAACCCTATTACACTGTTGGTGGGAATGTAAACTAGTCAACCACTATAGAAGGCAGTTTGGAGAGTCCTCAAAAAACTAAACATAAAACTACCCTGTGCCAGGTGCTGATGGCTTATACCTGTAATCCTAGCTACTCAGGAGGCTAAGATCTGAAGATCATAGTTCAAGGACATCCTGAAGAGCTCAGGGACAGCACCCAGGCCATGAGTTCAAGCCCCATGACTGACAAAAACAAAACAACAACAACAAAAATGACTCTGATCCAGTGATGTCACTCTTCCCTTACAAGTGAGGATATACTAAAGACACTTGCATACTCATGTTCATTACTGCACTATTCATAGCCAAGGTGGGAAACAGGTGAGATGCTCTTTAAGGGCAGAATGAATCAAGAAAATATGGTAGTGAGATAATTTGCAGGGAAATGGATGGACCTGGAAAAGTATGTTAAGTAAAGCAAGTCAGGCTCAGAGAGATTTGGGGTATTTCAGAGATATTCTTAGTGGTATTTTATTAATAAAGTTGGTCTTTCAAATTTCATTTTCATTTATGTATTTTTTGTTTTAACTTTATTTAGACACAGCAAAGTTAGGAATGTAGAGTTCACTAATCTTTTTTTGTGCTGGTACTGACTTTGAACTGAGGTCCTGGCAATGTCCCTGAGCTTTTTAGCTAAAGACTAGCACTCTTCGACTTGAGCCACAGCTCCACTTAGGCTCTTTTGGTAGTTAATTGGAGATAAGAGTCTCACAGACTTTCCTGCTTAGCTGGCTTCCAATCTCGACCCTCAGATCTTTGCCTCCGAGTAGCTAGTATTATAGATGTGAGCCAGTTGTTGCCTGGCTGAATTCACTAACCTTAATGACAGCGTTTTTTTTTTTTTTCTTTTAACCTATCCACACATCAGTATACCTGTCACACAGATAAAAAGTACAGCATTTATTCCAGCAGTCCAGAAGGTTCACTTAGTCCTCATTTTCAGGCAATAACACATTTCCTCAGAGATAACCACTACTCTGACCTCTAACAGCAGGTTAGTTGTAACTATTCTTGAACTTCATACAAATGGAATTATGTAATATGTGTTGTGTGTATGCAGACTCCTCTTTTTAATGTTTCATAGTATTCCATTGTATAAATGAGCTGTAATTGATACAGCCATTCTCCTTTTGATGATACTTAGATCCTTTCCTAGGAGTGGAATTGCTGGATCATAACATAGATATTTTTTCAGTTGGTACAAATAAAGGAAGCTAGCCCTGCTGTGACCCAGTATTTTGACTACTTCTTGTTCCTGGCTATGATTCTTGAGAGTTATCCGCATTTTCTGAGTCTACTTCCTATTGATCTTCAGCCTACTAGTCTCACATAAACTTTTACATTGCACTGAGTTCTTACTTAGGGTTGCTAGTTATATCCTTATTTGCCAAATTTAAAATACTTTAGTAATAATTCTCTCTTTAGGATTACTCAAACATCTTCTGTTTAATAAGGCTGCTCTTTCTTGTGTGTGTGGTTTTTCCAATTGTCTGTCTTCTATACTGGTCCCTTCATACTTCTTTCACAAACACCCGTGTGTTGTGTGTGAGTTGTTTCCAGTGTCCCATCCTTTGGCTTTACTTCTTCATGCATTTTACCCAGATCACAAAAAATGCCAGTCAGTTACTGGGGTTTCCCAGTAGAGACATAGTTATTGTCTAGTTTGCTTCTCTTGCTCAACTCTTTCTCCTGACCCTTATCTTCCACCTACTGAATTCCCTCATAGTGAATGATGAAAAACCTCTCCATTCACCCAACCTAAAACCTTAGTAGACCTACTTTTCTGTCCCATCCCCACATCCAGTTGATTGAGAAACTTGGCTAAATTTTAAATAAATTTAAATAAAATAAACTTACTGCAGTCTTTATTGGGTTTTATTTATTTTTACAGATAAAGTTTTCTTTCTTTTTATTAATAAGTTTTTTTATTGTGAAAATACTGTACAGAGGGGTTACAATTACATGGGCAAGGTAATGAGTACATTTCTTATCAAGCATTGTTGGCTTCTTCTTTGTTTTTCTCTTTCTATCCCTGCCCTCCCATCTCCATGACTACACTCCCTCCACCAAAGTGGTAAAGTTCATTTTTTCGACATAGCATCTTCTTGTACATTTCATTGTTGCAATGGGTCCACCTGTATCCCTATTTAAACAATTTGTTTTTTCCCTTCCTCTCCCCAAATTATACTAACATCAAATACAGTGAAAATAGGGATTATACTGTGGGGGAGAGGCAATCAAAGCAACAAAAAAATCACCTTATAAATATGTTAGAAACAATAGCAAGAAAGAAAAACCACTTGAGTCCTTATCTTGGGGTTCATTTTGCCTACCATCAACTTATCTGACCTTTTCTGCTTGTCTCAGACATATACTAGATATTGCAAATAAGGGAAACCATGGGACCTATGTTTCTTTGGGCCTGGCTTACTTCACTTAATATAATTTTTTCCAAGTCTTTCCATTTCCTAACAAATGGGGAAATGTCATTCTTTCTAAGGAAACATAGAATTCCACTGTGTATATATACCACATTTTCTTGATCCATTCATCTACTGAGGGGCATCTGGGTGGTTCCACATCTTAGCTATGGTAAATAATGCTGTGATAAACATAGTTGTGCTGGTAGCTTTAGCATGGTCTTGTTTGTGATCATTTGGGTAAATGCCCAAAAGTGGGATTGCTGAGTCATAGGGGAGCTCTATGTGGAGTCTTTTGAGGAACCTCCATACTGCTTTCCAAAGTGGTTGAACAAGTTTACACTCCCACCAACAATGCAGTAGGGTTCCCTTCTGTCCACATCCCCTCCAGCATCTATTGGGTTTTAAATCCTTATAATCATCTTTCCTAGTGGTCTTCATTTTGTTTTCCTAAAACAGGTGCTTTGAAGCTTTTGGTAGGGCTTCAAATTCACAATTTTGAAAGTTCATAGTAAGGCGCTACAGATGCATGCACATATAAACAAAATATTTATTTGTAATGAAAAGAGAAAGTACCACAAATTATAATTTTTATTTTAGTTTTTATTGTTATAATAAAAGTGATATACAGAGAGGTTTCAGTTATATAAGTCAGGTAATGAGCACATTTCTTTTTGTACAATGTCACCCATTCCCTTACTCTCTCCCAATTTCCCCCTCCCTTCCTCACTCACAAGTTCTATAGTTCATTTTTAACATAGTGTCTAGTGAGTACCATTGCTGCATATAGTTACCCTTTGACTCTCCATTTCTGTGTCCCCTCCCTTTACTCTCTGAAAGACAGCTAAATGAATAAGACAAAAAGAAAACAAAACAACAAAGAAAAAAAAGCCCTCTTATTTCCATTTCCTGAGCTCATTTCAATAAATACTATTTTATATTTTAATTTTTTAAAGCTACTGAAAAGTTGCAAACATTTAACACTCTTTTTAGCATTTGCCCTTTGGCTGGGAAGTCTTTGACCACCTCTTCATCAGTCACTTTGTGATGTTTCCTATACAGAGAAGAGAAGAATAGTCTGTTTTCCTTTCAGTTCCTTCACTCTCCAGTTGGCATTGTGTGAGTATTTCAGCTCAGCATCTTGCATCCGAGGCCCAGGCAGTCTGCACTGCAGGAGGCAGAAGCATTTCTGAAAGTCATTCCTGTAGGGGTGCAGTTATCAGCACTTACCTACACAAGGGCAAGCCATGAGTAATAGCTTTTTAAAACCTAAATTTCCTCTTAGTAGCTCTGGCTACTCCAGAGCTGCCTGCCTGATAAAAGGCAGATTAAGCCAGAATAGAGTCAGTGATCTTAACTGAATATAATGAAAATATTTTTATTTTGAAAAAAAATATTCTTAATTAAATAACAATTATGAACCTAAGATGTGGAATCCCAAGCTGTATTACATATCAGAAATTTAGACATTTGCAAATCACTTATTACTAAATTTCATTTCTTCTTCTATTAAAGGAAGAACTATTGGTTAACAATTTGTT